TGGGGAAACTGACATATTTACTATATGGAATTTTTCAATCCATGAACATGATATATTGTTCCGTTTACCCAGATCTTTCCTTTTTTCCTCAGGCATTTTGTAATTTTGAGCATAGAAATTTACAAATATTTTGTTAGATGTGTACCTAGGTTGTTCTTTTTTGGGAAGCAACTATAAACAGTATTATGTTTTAAATTTTTGTTTTTGCCATTGCTGTTTCTGTCCTAAAGCAAATATTTAGTGCCATAAATTTCCATCTCCACACTGTTTTAGCTGCATTCCACAAATTTTGATACATTATATTTTCATTAGCTTTTAGATATTAAAAAAAAATTTTTCTAGGATTTCCTCTGACCCATGCATTATTTAGAAGAGTTCCAGCTGTCCATATCCTTAACAATACTTGGAACTTTTAGCCTTTCAAATTTTTGCCATTCTAGTAAGTGAGTATTTGTATCTCCTTGTAGTTTTATTTTATGTTTTATTTTTAATTTTTTTTTTTTGTTACTGCTGTTACACAAGATCTCCTAGTAGTTTTAATTTGCATCTCTCATGACTAATGATGTTGTACACTCTCTTTATGTGCTTATGGGCCATTTGTGAAGTATCTGCTCCTGTCTTTTGCCCTTTTTTTCATTAGCTTGTTTCTCTTTTTATTATTAATTTGTAGGAATTTTTAAAAAATATATGTATCGTCATATATTCTGTTTACAACCTTTGTCAGATATATGTTTTATGAATATTGTCTCCCAGTTTTTGGCTTGTGTGCTCATTTCCTTTAGTGTATAGCCTGATGAGCAGAAGTTTTCAATTTTGTGGCATTCTAAATTTATCAATGTTTTCTTTTGTGGTAGTTTGTGGTATCCTAAAAAAATCTTTATCTACTCCAAGGTCATGAAGACATCTTCCTAAGTTTTCTTCTAAAAGTTTTATAATTTTAGCTTTTATGTTTAGGTGTATGCCTCATCTTGAAAAACATTTTGGAGCATGGTGTGAGGTAGGATATTTTTCCCCATATGGATATCCAATTGTTGCTGCATCATTTGTTGAAAAGACTATCATTTTCCCATTGAAAGTGACTTGATGTTTTGGTTGAAAATCAACTAACTATATACGAATAGGTCTATTTCTCAATTCTCTATTTTATTCCATTGAACTATCATTTTTGTTAATACCACACTGTAATTACTACAACTTTATATTGTCTTGAAGTCAGGTAATATAAATCTTCTAAGCTTTCTTTTCTTAAGAGGTTGCTTTTGCTGTACATTTGGGATATGCATTTTGGCTACTGCATTTCAAAATACATTTTAGAATCACCTTGTCAATTACTACAGAAAAGCTTGACTGGATTTTAATTGAGAGCGAAAGAAACGATACATCAATTGACAGTATAACAATACTGAGCCTGCCAATCTATTCATGTGATTTCTCCATTTATTTAGGTTTTCTTTAATTTTGCTCACCATGTTTTATAGTTTTCATTATAGAAATCTTACACAAGTTTTAAAAAACTTATTGCTAAATATTTTACACTTCGATACTACTGTGAATATAACTGTTTTTTAAAATTTTTCAGTTTCCTACTGTTTCTATTATATACATATAAAAATAATTTTTCTTTATTTACTTTGTATCCTGAAACCTTACTAAACTCACTTATTACTTTAGATTTTTTGTTGAATGTTTATAACTTTATGTGAAAAATTATGTGTCTTCCAGTATATCAATTTTAGTTCTTGCTTTCTAATATTTATGCCTTTTATTTCTTTTATTTTGTTGCACTGAATAAGGCTTCTAGGATAATGTTCAAAGGAAGTGGTAAGATTGAATACTCTGGTTACAAGTCCTTTATAAGTGCTTTGCAAACATTTTCTCCTAGTCTCTGGCTAGGAGAGACTAGCCAGAGACTAGTATCTTTTTTTTTTATTTGTTTTTGTTTTTGAGATAGAGTCTCACTCTGTTGCCCTGGCTAGAGTGCCATGGCGTCAGCCTAGCTCACAGCAACCTCAGACTCCTGGGCTCAAGC